TCTAGACTGCTGATCCAAGTAGAAAGAAATAATTTCTTTTATTCAGCAGTAAAGAAATCAAATGAAATCTGATACGACTAAGGTACAACTGACCCAATTTGTAGTTCTGAAATAATTCAGATGCTCTGGTAATGGGAAAGACAGAAGAACGGATATGTTTAAACTGTGCTGTTGGCAAAAAAAAAAAACAACACTAAATCATGGGATGGCAGGAATGGGTAAGAATGGTTGTGTTTTAGAAAAGGAATAACTAGAATGCTCCTTAGAAGCAAAGATGGAAAAACTGACTGACTTGTTTTGGATATGTCATCACTAAAGACTAATTACTAGAAAAGGACATGTATGGCAGAGCAGAGAGCCAATGAAAAAGGGGTGACAGCCCCAAAATGGACTCAAAACATATCAATGAGAAGGAAACTGATACAAAACTAAGCAATATTTTTCTCTGCCACAATTAAGGGGGCCAAAAGTCAGAGCCAACTTGAAAGCAAAAGCCTACAGAACTGTGAAAAAAGAAATTTGAGTCACTCTAGTTTGTTACATTAGCTCTAGTAAATCAATACTATCAGTATCCAGATTTCGTGTCTGGCTATCATACACACTACAAAAATAGGTGAGAATTGAAAATTTCAATAAATTATTCATGAATATCACCAGGTTTTAATTTCTTCAGGCATCTTGACTAACAAAGTGAAAATTTACTTCAACAATGTCTATATTTTCTCTTAGATTTCATCTTCTATCTCTACTCACTGAAAATTCTCCAAAATGTGCCACTTTTTTTTTTGATAAGTGGAAGGAAGAGGAGGGAACCCTGTAACACTTCTTAGAAACAGGTATGTGTTGCTTAATGTGCATGATACATTCTGTGAGAAATGATGTAATTTGGATGTTGTGCAAATGCTGTATTATTTATCGCACATATTTGTAATATATTTCATAGACAAGTCACAAATCAATGCCTGGTATCTCAGAGTTTGCAAACTTGATCCTGCAACTGGCTGTCCCTTGGAGCACTAAATACTCTGAGCAACTACAAGTGGGGAAGTACAGTAGAAAAGAAATCAAGTCAGAATCAGAAGTCCCAGAGGCAAAGTGGTGGGCCACAGCCCAGGGGTTTCCCTGCATGCACTGACTGGGGCGTGTAGCTTGGTGCAAACCAACCCCCAGTTTCAGTAAATCAAAACCTCAATATTGGCTTTGCCTTCTAAGAACACTTCCAAACAAGCCCTTCTTCTCTCCCAATAATGTATGTGTGGTTGAATATTGCCCCATCAGATATTATGTGGTGCACATCTGAATTTTACAGAGAAATATAACTATGAATACAGAAAATTATTACTGAGAGATATCCTCAAGAGACCACCACAGGATTAATAAACTAAAATGCAAAATCACTTTCACTTATTTATGAAATAACATTTATTCATCCAAGGAGTTCAGATTTTGAAGCAGGAGAAGAGGAAATGAAAAATAAACACAATGCACATAACGAAGTAAGATTAAATATGTCATGATTAGTGTTAAAAAGAAAATAAACTCAAACCTATGTATGACAAAGACTACAAGAAATAAGCTAAATTCCTTCACTGATCCCCGATGGAGCTATGGTGGCAGTCAGTAGGGAGCTGTGCTGCTCACCTAAAGTCCACACATCTCTAGCAGTAACAGAGAAAGGATTCTTCCAGGATGATTTACATCCTTGGAAATCCACTGGAGGGGGTCATCTGTAAGTAGGTAATGAGATAATATCACAGACATATGTAAATGTGTATGTTAAGATTGCTTTAAGACATCGATATTTACTGGGATGCTTCTGAGCACTGAAGTCCATTAAAGAGAGAAAAAGGAGTGACTATGAAGGTTCTGACTCAACAGCAGTGATTGTTAAATAATTTTAACATTATTGTTATAGACTTATACTACACAGCTGTTGATTTTTATTCATAATGACTCTTCCTCCATTAGAAGAGCTTCACGGACTTTTCTGGCTGTAATATGGAACGTATACAGTTCAAATCCATGGTGAGAGAAAGATGGGTAATTTCCTCCTGTGCGATTTACTAACCTGGAAAACCTACTCCAAGGCCAGTTAAGTGTTAGTTCCCACTTGGCACATAATGAGGCAGAGATGAACTGTCAACTCAAAGGAAATGGTTCGAATCCATCAGCAGCTCCATGTGAGAAAGATAGGCAATCTTCTCCTATGCAATTTACAGCCTCTGAAATTTGCTGGTGAGCTATGAGTTGGTTCTGATTCAATGACAATGAATGAGTATTAAATAATTTTAACATTACATTATTAAGTATACTTATACCACATAGATATTGAGTGGATTCCTACTGAGTGACCCCGTGTTGTATATAGGACAAGAGTGCCACAGGTGTTTTTTGGCTGTAATCTCTAAGGAAGCAGATCATCAGGCCCTTCTGAACTAGGTCCAAACTGCCAATTTTCATTAAATAGCCAAGAGCAAGTTATTTGTATTAAAGAATGTAATATATTTGAACAAAAAAATTTATATATTAAAACAGTAAATAAAATGATATAATATTAAAATATTGTTTCATTTTCATAATCATGCTAATACAAGTAAACAAGGACTTTCTACTAGGGCAAATCAGGTCATGTAGTCTCTCTAATACTACATCACATCAAATGACAGTAAAAATTCCAAGAGCTGCTTATTGTTCTGATGGATTTTAATTATAAGTAATAACCAAATAAAGAACTGAAGTTATAATCTGGATCCCATAAGCCAAAATGATGCTCTCACTAAATTTAAAGATCTAATTACCTCATACCACAGCCAAAATCAATTTCAAGACTATTACAGAAAAAAAAAGATTAAAAATATCTTCAGCCTTGAGGTAGGGAAGAACCCTTCAAGAGAAGATACACATAAAGGGAAATATTGATAAACATGTTTACTTGGCTCTGGTGGCCCAGTGGTAAAAGCTGTGTGACCAACTTAAAGGCTCATCATTTGAATCTACCAGCTACTTCACAGGAGAAAGATGGGTGATCTCCTTGCATGTGATTTACAACCTCTGAAAACCTAGTCAGCTATGAGTCAGTTTTGACTGGAAAGCACCCAATACCACCAATACCACCACCACCACCTTAAAAATGTTTATCTTTTTGTTTATCCTACATTAAATGGGTCAATTTTTTTTTTTTTATAAAAAGATACCCTCATATGGTACTTCTGTTAGAGCAACACTTAGATGATAACCATCTGGTAAAAGAGAAAGAAAAGAAGCGTAAGATAACTTTAAAACAAGCCACGTAAAAATGGGCTTTTTAAAAAAGCATCACCGGGAAAAATCTAGATTTTTTGAGAAGTTGAAGTTTACAAGTGTTTTAAAGAGGCAGTATTTAACGAAGAGTTTTCCTTTTTCTTTTTTAAAAAAGAGACTTGGAAATCTTTAAATAGGTGCAATTAGGTGATTTTAAATAAAGTTGTGCAACTATAACCACAATCCAGTTATGAGAACATCTCATAACTACTCTAGCTGGAATTTATGTCATAGGAAAATGCATCAACAATGGCCACTAAGGAAACATCAAGATCAACCACATATAGAGATATGGCTAGATCATGTGGACAGCTCTGCAACAAAGACCCTCTACCCAAGTAGATCTGTCTCAAAAAAGGCTCCATCGAAGGATTTAGGAAAAAAAAAAAAAAAAAGAAGTTAATACTTGTTGGATTTTCCTGCCTATGAAACTGAAAAATTATTTCATAGACAAATTGTTCTGTGCCTCCCAATCTATCAACTCCACAGGATAGGCTAAGGAAATAACCTTGTATTTTGCTTCCTTACCCAAAGCATCCCTAACTGTTGGGAGATTTCCTTCAAGACTAAGGTGCTAAAGTTTATTTTCTTCCCAGATTCCTGGTAGAAGAGAAGCCCAGTAAGTACAAATGGGAACAAACCCCGGAGATATTCTGGTCTCCTCCTCACATTCAGAATCCTCCTTTTCCAGTGATGCTCCAAGGGATCAGCGGGCTCCCACGAACCGCTCCGATCTACCTTCTGACCCATGGTCCTGGATCAAGCTCGACCACTCCCCTTTCTGGGTTTCTGGAAGTAGGGTAGTCCGGGAAGCAGCGAGCATTTTTAATATTCACCAAACGGGAAGGAGCTGCGCTGCCAACTCAAAAGGTATTCGAATCCACCAGCTGTTCCGCGGAAGAAAGACGGGCGATCTCCTCCCTTGGGATTTACCGCCTCTGAAAACTCACAGGAGGGTCCACCGTGCGCAGTAAAAACGTGATAGCGGGAGCCCTAGAAGCTGCTAACCGAAAGGTGGGCGGGACCACCGGAGTCTACTTCCCTAAAAAATTCACAGGCTCGGAAACCTCCTTACAGTGCAGTGGTCCCTATGCTGTCCTCCAGGGTAACTCTGGGTCGGAATAAACTCCACGGTGGTGGGTTTTTAACAGATGGTTGCATAACAGGCAAATAACCATATTTAAGACAAGTAAGAAGCAGGCTGCTCGGCGGTACCGAGATGGTCAGCGTAGCTGAGCGAACCCAAAGTTTCGGCACCGCACGAAGAGTGCACCTGAGGAACACCTCAACAAATGACCCGAAGAACGAGCGAGAACAGGGCCGCGGAGTCAGGAGAACAGCCCCGAAGACGAGCGAGGCGGAAACATTCTCTGACTGCCCAGGCTTTGTTTTCCGCTAAGACGACAGAACCACAGAATTTCCGAGTTGGGAGACATGTATCTCTGGGTTCTCTCGCCAGTTCTCCGACTTCAGAGCGGCCCCGCCTGCCCCACGCCCGGCCCGACGGCTTCCCGGATCCCAGGTGCGGACCTCTGAGGAGGCCCTAGCCCCACTGGCGCCAGCAGAGGGAAGCGGCCTAAGGGGAAAACCCACACGAAAAGGAGTCGAGCGAGGAGGCCGCGCGGGGCCGAGAGCGGGGCGCGGCTGTTGGTAGGCGCCCGGCCCGCTTCCCCCACCCTGGAGCTCCCCACCGGGCGCACCTTTGGCGAGGGCTACGGTGGAGTTCTCGGTATCGATGGTGTACAGGATGCCCTCGTAGCGTATCTCTGCCTTGGAAATGAGGCTGATCTTGCTGCCGATGTAAGGGGTTCCCCCACTCATGGCTCTGCCGCCGCTCAGGGCCGCTTGCAGAGAGGCCGGTACCACGACGCCGCCTGCTCGCTCTCTCCGGGCCTACAGCAGCCGCCTCAGACCCAACATGGCGGCAGCGCCGGCTCCGCTACCCTCCCCCAGCCTCCCGCCCTCAAGCCGCGGCGAGGCGGCGGCGGCGGCGGCGGCGGCGGCGGCGGCAGCGCGGGGCATGCTGGGGTGGCGAGGCCGAGCTATCGCGAGACTCCTCGGGCTCGAGCCGGGTGGCTTCCGGCTGTTTTTCAGATTCCGTGTCACTGGCAGTTTGCCCTGTCTTGACTGATCCGAGCGTGACATTGCTTCCACGACATGAAAGGGCCTCCAGGCAAAAAGGTGGTGCGCGCGACCCTCTTTCCGACCTCAGTCTGGCTTCTGCCATTTCCAGATGTCTTGTCCCGAGTTCCGTGTCTTTGCACACTTGGGTCCCTCTGCTTGGAGAGTTGCTCACCTCTTCTTGCTTCTCTCAAACTATTAGCCATCCTTTGAGACTCGGGCCTTTTCGTATTTCATGGCCCCATTGTGGTGCCTCATTATTATCGTGCAATTAACTCATACATCTAAACTGCACCTGTAGCTGGAACTGTGTCGCAGGGACTCTTGTCTCTGTAATCAATTCGAAATCTTTGTCAGCAGCTCTAATCAGTTTTGTGAATCTTGGGTTCATAGAAATAAAAGTTTGCTCAGCCTTTCCAATTGGCTGATTCCAATTGGAATTTCAGATTTTGTATGTCCAAAACGTAAACTCGCTCTTCGAGTAGCTTCAGATATCCAGCAAGCCAGTACTTAGTGGTTGGGATAACGCTGCCAACCCAAAGGCAGATGGTTCAAATCTAGCAGTTACTTGGCGAGGAAAAGACGGATGATCTCTTGCACGATCGGCTGACTAGATGGGACATAACAACATAGGGCAAATTACACGCTTTGAAGGCTCTAATCTCAATGGAAGCTGACTGCCTCATTTTTCTCTCTTGGAATGGTGCATGGGTTAGAACTGCCCAGTACTTTAACCCCTGGATCACTACTGCCTTTCAAAAAACCCCCACATTCTCACCTGAACCTGCTCTTTCGACATTGTTCCCTATCAGCGTAACGGGGAACCAGGCAGGTGCTTTTATCAAGCGTCTCAGTCATTCTTCTCTCGCACATCCACATTTTTTAATGCAATATTTTTATTGTAATAAACATATATGTACAAAAACGTAACCATTTAAACATATTAAAACAATTTTGTGAATCAATTTGAAACTTTTTTTTTTTTGTTATTGCAATTACATGGCAAAACATACATCAGTTCAACATTTCCTACATGTACAATACAGTGGAATTAATTACATTCAGGTTACTCTATCACTCTCACTTTTGTTTTGCTTTCTGAGTTGCTCCTCCCCCATTAACTAAACGCTCCTTAAGGTTCTAATCTAAACTTTCAAGTTGCTCTTAACAGTTTGATCCCATACAGACAAATCTTAAAACAACAATATACTCAAGACAAGATAGTCTTTACTAGTGAAGCTAAACTTCAGTTTGGTTTTAAGACTTCAGGGGATATTGGGTTTAATGTTTAAAGATTATCTCAGGTTAATAGTTTCAAGTGTTCATCCAGCCTCTGTAGTGTCAGAAATGCTGGACTCCTTGAGAATATGAAATTCTGTTCTGAATTTTCTGTCTTTTAATTAGTATTATTCTTTAAAATCTTTGTTCATACCATTCAGAAATTGTTCAAACCATTCAGTATTTATTGGTAGCGGGACACCATTCTGCTCTTGTGGTCAATTAAGCTGTTGATTGTAGATGTTAGTAAGTGGTAGTGATAGCAGGGCACCATTCTTCTGGTCTTTTAGTCAAGAGAGCTGTTGATCTGTTGGTTAATGAGCTAAATATTTTATTTTCCCTTCTCCTTCCCTTGTTACTCCAGGTGAGTAGAGAAATACCAGGCAATATGTAAAGAACAATGAAACAGAATAGAAGCATATGGGGAGTTTATCTTTGAATATGGCTTTTCCACACATGGAATTTGCCTGACTCAGGCATGTGTGTGGGCAGAAATATGCAAATAGGGCATGTTAGCCCATCCACAAAGGGACTGTCACCAATCCACAAGGGGACTGGGTAGTCTCACAAATAAATTTGAGCCATTCCAGCAGCAGAGGCATTCCACCACCAACAAAGAAGCGGACATGCAGTAGACATCCTTCAGGGCCACACTTTGATGCACCAGCTAGATTTACTGCAGCAGACACTTATCTGGTGTCATTAGCATAGTTGACTCAGTTTTTTTCTCCAGACTGATGAATGTTCACAAACATTCCTGAATCTAAGAGTCCTGCTGACCTTGCTGTATCACTTTTAGAAAAGCTAGTGGGCTTTGAAGGTCTTTTCGAATATAGTTTTTTTCTGTTGATGCGGCACAATTGGATCATTTTTCTCTTGATACTTCAATGGGTTTTCTTTCACACTGAACAGAGTCTTGTTTCATTCCAAATGCAATACATCTCTGTAATCTGCAGTACTGACAACAGTTTCAATGGTGTTTATTGATAATACAGTCTTTTGATCCTCTACATGAATACACTAAGTTTTTTCAGATGCTTCTTTTAAAGAATCTTTTGCAACCTTCACAAGTTACTGCTCCATAATAATGCCCTGATACTTTGTCTCCACATACTACACAAAGATCAAAAACCTTATTTGGACCTTGGTCTGGAGAAGAATTATACATTAAGAGTTGGAGGTGTTGTGCAGAGAGATCAGGAGTTGTGAAAAAATAACTGGTTGACTCCTGCTGCATCTGGAGTTGTGAGAAAAACTTTTCCTGAAATGGAATCTTGCCTGGCCAGTATGACTTGGCTTGGGGTAGAGCCATCATGATTGGTCAGAATGAACTGCATGCCTTGTGTATTATGATCGAGTCCTGTCACGATTTGGATTTTCTGGCTACTTTGTTGCTCTGTAACAATCTCTCCCATTTGTTGTTCAATAATCTGATGTGTAATTTCTTCTATAGTTGCCTTGGCCTAAATATCAAGGTGTCCCACTTTTCCTCTGTGTTTGGTCCTGCTCCGAGATTATGCTGGACAGCCCCACCTCGGTGGCTGCTGGGGGAAATCATGCAAGGAGACAGGTTAGAGAAAGCTGGGGTTTAGGGGAAGGTTAGGGGGAATGAAGGAAACAGGGGGAGGGGGCTTTCTGAGTTTGTGTATTTATGGAGGTCAGAGTTCATGACCCCTACTTCGGCTCTGTGGTCCACATGTTTTCTGATGGCAAGAGCAACCTAAACCGAAACAAACCCAGGAACAACCCGTCCGCCCCCCCACCCCGTTTCCCAAATCCACTCTTTTCAACTAGGACACATAGTGACCCTGCACTGTTTTACAAAACCATAAATCTTTATAGCAGGAGACTGCCTGTCTTCTCTGCCAAGGCTGGTGAATTTCAACCTCTGCCCTTTGGGTTAGCGGCACAACACTTCTACCACCAGAGCTCATTCCATCTGTAAAATAAATTCTGAATCTACTTCTCACCTGTCTTTATAACTACAACTCTACATAAGTCACCATCACTCTGTGCAGTGCCTCCTAAAACTCAAAACTGAAAAAAACCCAGTTGTGGCTGTCAACCCTTAAGCGATTTTCTGAGACTATAAATCCAACAGGATGGGAGGAGATTGCACTTCTCTCTCCTACTGGAGCACTGCTGGATTATTTTTTCTTCCCTTATTCCATATAGTTTATTATCAACACAGCAGCTACAGGAATCATAATAGAAAACTCAATCTCCTCTATCCACCATTCTATTCTCTGAATCCTTTTCACCCAGACTGAAAGTCAGATTTCTTACCAGCTCACAAAAAGATGTTAGCCCCTTTTTATCATCATTCCCCACTCTATTCCAGCCACACTGACTGGCCTTCTGTTTGGTATTAGTGCCAATTAGAATTCCGTACTTTATTCAATTCTGTTTAAATGTCACCTGATTGAAGGCGGCTTTTCTGTATTAAACAGTGCCACACCCCATCACTTTATTCCACTTTTTCTGGGACCTGTTTATTTATGTGTGTCTCTCTCCTTCACTGGAGAGTGAAGTTTTTGAGGCAGAAGCTGTTTTGGTTACAGCTACAGCCTCAGAGCCAATACAGACCCTAACAATGACTGCTCAGTAAATATTTGCCAGATGAATGAGCAGGTGAAGGAATAAACCACAAACAGGTTGTCAGATAAAATGAGTGAAAAATGTTGAGAAGGCCACAGTAGCTGGTGTCATTGAGAAAGAGAAACAGGAGAGACTAGAAGGCTATGTTGGGACAGGTGAACAGTGGTTTCAAAAGAAATATATATATATA